CGGGAAACTGTTGGGGGATGAGTTACGGCAGGGGTTAGCCCTTCTCTTTCTCGCTGGGACTCAGGCAACTTTTGGGCAGCATAACCTGGAGGCACAGACAAGACAAAAATGTGGGTCATCATTCCATTTTTGACGGCTTGTGAGAGAGCTTGCCAGAAATCTTCACAAATAACCTGAACATTGAGAACGCAGGGACCAATTTTGGAATAAGATAAAGTGATTGGGAAGGTTAAAAAAATTTTTTTTTAAAAAAGACCAGAAAAGAAACCCGTCTGGCGCTGTAAGCAAACACAGTGCGGCTCAGCTTCAGGCGAGAGGAGCTCATCTCAAGCGTAACTTCCAACAGCTTCGAAACAGGCCCTCCTCCAAGCACTTCGGACGGGAACAAAGCAAAAGCAAACATTGATGCTTCATTCATAATTTCTTAAATCCGTGGACACAAAATCTAGGTTCGTTTGTTCCTCTACAGTCGCAAATCTGAACGAAACGGCAAACTTAAAACCAAGATAAGCACCAAACCAGAATTTTTAGCATACGATGACTCCCCCTAGCAATTATAGATTTACAGCATGCGCTTTCACCGCTTACAACTGGGCTTCTGCAAGTGGCCCGCGATGAAAATGAAGTTAGTTGGATACCACCGTTGAAGCGTGTTAGATTTGACGACACGAAACCCTTTGAAAAGACGATTAAAAAAAAAAAATCATAAAAAATGATAAAAAGCCGCATGAACGGTCTCCAGACATCTTCACGGAGCCGACAAAAATACCAGCGCTGAAAACTCCATTGCAGCGCACAACATATAACCTGCCCGCTGATCTTTTGTCCCTCTATAATTGTGCATAATTACAGTCAGTCTGCAGCCGTGTAATAACAGCATCGGCATTTTCAATCATACTACCAAAAAAAAAAAAAAAAAAAAGAGACTCATTGTCGGCACAAAATTGCCATAAAGAGTTTGTGTTTGGAAGTAAAATGGCAACAAAATCACCCCTGCCGAGGCAAAGTGATCATTTTGATATCGGCAGCAATCACTGCAAATCTTACGACATTTTTGGGGGATGATCTGGACTCAGGAATTTATTGTCACTTTGTCGGTGATATCACTCAAATAGTCCCCCCCCCCCGCCCCACCTTGAATCATAAATAACGCCACCGCCCGTCTTGTGAAACCGGGAAGCAGCCTGCTAAATACCAACTGGATGATCATCGTCAACAGAATCGTCTCCGTATTATTGCAAAATGTCCACCGCACTCTCAGATTTTTTTTTTTTTTAAATGACTCATTTCCAGGCCCCGAGAGACGACTTCGCCACCATCCAAGGTCATTAACCATTAGCCAGATAAGAGCCTGATAACGGTGCGGACTACTGTGCAGGGACACCCTTTTGATAAGTGGTGGCGGATGCTTTCGGCTAACCTCCACTCGTTTTTTTTTTGAATTAATTTTTTTTTTTTTACATTCAGCATGAAAATTGTGTCCTTACGAATGATTCTAACCCAATGTATAGAACTATGAATAGGTTAACCGGGGAGTCATGTGTCGCCGATTGGGAGCAAGATATCGAGAAGGTGATGATGAAGTTGTAACGGTACATAAAAAAAAATAATAAGCACAGTTTGCTTTATATCTTGGTGAGAAGAGTTTGGTTTATGAGGGATGCAATAAAATAAGAAAATGAATACAGCGGTCGGTGCCTTGATTGACAGGTCATTCCGTGACTGAGCTGGTGCGTTTGCCTTGGCCACCACGGGACCACGAAAAGGTTCGCAACTGACTCGTGAGGATAAAGAATATATGCCTGCGAGTATTGTTGGATTGACTACGTGTGGGTCGACACAGTTTGTGCGGAATTATCCCTTACTTCAGGGTTATTTGTTTGCCCGTTGATGGCGTTTTGAGTTTAGCTGGATGCCATCACCTCGCGTCTTGATCTCCAATTTTAAATAAAAAAAATAAAAACATTTTAAAAAGATAAAAGAACACTGCCAGGTGATGATTTTAGGCAACACCGTTTTCGCATAACAACTCCAAAATTTTCTTTTTAGTACTCACCAATAGCCTTCTTTTTAGGAAAAGCACAAGCAATAACAGTAGAAAGACTTTTTGGTATTAAGCGATAAAATCACCGAGAGATTTCGCTGTTGGGGAGAGACTTAAGTTAGAACTGCACTAGTTTCATTTTCATGCAGCACTAAAATCCACGACGTGATGCCGTTTCATTTGCGTACCTGACACAGTACCAAAACTCTGACGTCCGCTAGCCAGAGGCTTTATCCCCAAGTGGCTACGCTAATATGCTAAATATAAAACCACCAAATAACACAAAGGTAAGTACCGCCGATACTTGAGCATGCCTTTTGTTTCACACTGACGGCATTTTTTTTTTTTGTGTGACTCACAAATATCTTTTACATGCAAAAAAAAAACAAACCAGAAAAAAAAAAAAAAAAACACTTCAAGTTTTAAACCATGCTTGTACTAATGATGATAACGGAGTCATTCACCCCACTATACACGCTTTATTTTCCCAGTAAACGAACACCCCGGCCACTGTGTTGGAGGCACGGGGATAAAGTTACAGAATGGTGGGATCTGGGGCCCGGACTATGGGAACCAGCAGCCAAGCAACCTGGGAGAAAAAAAGTCCAACAAAACTGCAAAGGCACCAATAATCGTCTTGTTGTGGACGACACCTGGACCTCAATTGTGTTTTGTGTGGGACACGACTTAAAAAGGAACTGACGGCGCCTTATGCAACAGCTGACTCTGCCAAAAAAAGAGATGGATGAATGCTGAGTGTGCAAGAGGAAGCGAAGACAAGGAAAAAAAAAAAAAAAAAGGCTGTCATTGCTAGTCGAGCTTCATCATGTCCTCTTAACTGGGTCACCCACAAAATCTCGCAGCTCGGTCAGTGTGTCAAATCTGCGCACGTGGACATGAGGGGAAAACGTATCTTGCTGCGAGGGAATATGTGTCGAAACACGACATTAAAACCCCGGAGAAGGAATAGTTGAAATTCAGTACCAGCCAATTCTGGACCAAGTCTAAAAAGACGTTTAAAAACGTCTTTGGGAGTGAATGAGTTAAAAAGTATGCCCGCTAGGCTAATGCATTACAACGCTCGCTCGCTAACGTCATGGGCGAATTTGATTTGTCATAGCATCAAACAATTTCGTTTTTTTTCATCATTCAAAATTTGACAGTTGTTGACAACACACTCTTCTGCGGAGCGTCAAATTTGCCGCTGCCCTGAAATCATAAATCAGACTCGAGACCGAAAACAACATACTGTCACCCCACTCGGAATAGAAGCGTGCCGTATCCCGTTGTTACGAACGATGATTGATGTGCGGCGGATCGCATCTGCGGCGTAAAAATAAACCAGATGAATTCCTGCTGCTGATGGCCGCGCCAGCTATAGCCTTCTATAAGCGCTTTTTGAGGGGAGGGGCGAGCAGTACATGATGAATACATAGTAGGCTGCCACATTCAGGCATGGAGGGTGTGGAATTGAAAAATCTACACACCCCTCTTCAAATACATTTTTCAAAAACCTTATGGACCAATAAACGTGAGCTACAATCTTTTAAAGTGCCTCCGAAAGTTCAGCTGTACGAGTAAGCGTTTCGTGAACATGTTTTGTCGCCACCGGCACGATTCCCTCGAGTTGTGATGGTTCTTTTGGTGAGAAGCAGCCAAAAGGTTCAACCTCGAGAGACACTTTTCCCTAAAGTGTGTTTTTGCGAAATCTAGGTTTGGATGATTTTAAAGTCTTGCCACCTTACCCCATAGCCAAGACATATGATGGATGCAGGAGATTGTTGTCACTTGTAGCAAACAGCCAGTACTTGCCAGCAATTCCTGCAGCCCCTTCAATATGCCCGTCGGCCTTTTGGAAGCCTCCCTGACAGGTCTTGTCATTAATATTTTTTGACATATTTGCACCTCTTGATTGCTCTCTTCACTGTGTTCCATATTTTTTAAATGTCCCAGAAAATTCTGCTCCACCATTCTTCCAACAATGAGATCACTATGCTGCTGCGGAAGATCTCCGTGACTTCAAAAATGTCAGAATAAAAAAAAACATATTCGCACTTTATTTGGCGAGTTGTCGTGACTCCCGTTGAACATGAGTTTGAATGCGTCGAGCTAATTCGGAACACAGGCACATGTCCGGTCGTAAGAGGGTGTGCACACTTGTGCAATGCCAGGATTGGTTGGTTGCTAAAATAAAAAAAATATCTACAATTTTTTTTTTTTTTTAAATAACCCATAATTGTTCATCAAGGTCACATGACACACATAAATGTCAACCGCAAGCAGCCTGTTAATAAACTCCACGTTTTCATTTAAAGGCCACAGTTAAATGGATGCAGACTGGCTGAAATGATGATAAAAAAAAGTGGCCATGCCGAAACCTCAACAGTGGCACACTACTGATAAAAGGGAAAAGAAAATCATTGGAAAGCTTCCCAATTGTATTGGAGTCGCTTCGACTAACTGCCCCCCCCCCCCCCTGCCCCCTCTTTCACCGCGTTTGACTTTGCCATTTCCACCGTTACGTGCTTGCACTTCCAAAATCTGCGACCATGACAAGCGTTTTTTATTTAAGCCTGCGAGTCATTCTGCAGTCCTCCCCGCCCCCTCCCCGGAGATCCGGCGTATACTTCTCATGATAGCCTCTGTCCTGCGGCTCAGACACATTTGTAGCCTTAAATGTTTTATCAGAGCGACGACCAAGATGATATTGAAATGTGGGCGAGAGAAGGAACGCTGCCAAGGACAGACGCAGCCTGCAACTGGCCCCCAAAACAAAAGCTAATCATATCATTATTAACAACACTATACATATATTTTTTTTTACATAAATTCCAGAGGACTGATGTAAATAAAGCGCGTTAACCCTTTAACTGTCAGCTGGACCGATCAGTCGAGCGCAATCATCGGTTTTGCCTTTACTGTGGCTGCCATATCAACGACTTGGTAGACCACGATTTTGAAGGAATAATTTTACATCCATGCGTCGCCTATCGCAGTTGTCTTTGGGAAGTCGGCTGGTTGCCAGCCAATCGCAGGATTTTACATTTTACCACTTCATTATTAATATTATTATTATTTTTATTGAAGATCTCACAAGGTGTGCTGGTGCATTGTAAAAGGTTGACGTGGAGGTATAGTCAGGATGGCGTTTTCCCAAAAAAATGAAAGAAAACCACCAATGAAATAAACAACACGCGATTTCCGTTATTATGCGTCCATCAAGCACTTGGCAGAGCCTCATAAAGTATTTAAAAATCATACACCGATGTGATTCAGACAACGTGCAAGCATTAAAGTGACGACGCCGTTAAAAGAGACAAAGTTAAATGGGTGCAAGGGACACCCGCCAATCAACGAAGGTGACGATCCATACCTTTGCTTTGCTTATTGCAGAGAAGCCACCGCAGACATGGTTAGGAAGTGCAACTGTGAACTCTGCGGGCAGGTGGACGGAGAGAGACGCTTCTGGTCAGAGTGCAGCAGGAATGCAAAATCGAGACGGGGGAGAGAGAGAGAGAGAGAGAGAGAAAAGAGACAACGACAAAAGTTAAGAGATGTGGAGCGAACGTCCAACCTCTCAGACCGACGTGCGCCCACTGAGAGCGGCCGCCTCGGTCGCCGGGATTAAGTTTCCTCCCGGAGCCTGCTGACAAGTAGCCATGTGACTGCAGGGCCTATTCAACACTGACTCACACACAGACACACGCACACACGCACACAAGCACACACACACACACACACACACACACACACACACACACACACACACACACACACCTCTGGCTGAAACGTGGTCAGTCAGTCATTCCTCCCGATGATTAATATGTGGAACGTTAGCTTGTCTTGAAAAGAAATATCCGTGTCCAAAACATCCTTCAGAAATATACGATGAGAAAAAAAAAATGTATATATGACAAATAATCCCAATTTATTTCGCGTCGCTGCCAACTCATTTTTTTGCTCATTCATACATTACGGCGATAAATTGAAAATAAAAATGCATAAGACATACACATGTATAGTTTTCTATATAGTCGTACCTTGAGATTTCATTTGTTCTGAGACCAAGCTTGGAATTCCGAACACTCACACCATTTTTTTGTAAAAAAACACCAAATCATCTTGTATTGTCGAAAAAACATACAGCAATAACAATTCAATAGAAATGGGAAGAATTTAAAATTTCCGCACCATGTGCCTCCATCACCAGGGGGCAGTCTTGCAGACACAAATTGCTTTCAAGCGACTCAGTAAGCATTAGCTAATGACGCTTTTTGCAGAGGATAAAAAATATATGCAAATGAGTTACTGTTCAAACGGCACCCCGGCATCCAGTTTATTACATAGCACCGAAACAACAAAATCATTCCACAAAGAATCCCTACCGAAGTCACAAAAGCCACTGGATTAATTGTGTTGTGGGGCGGGGGGAACAAAGAAAGTCCTGTGATCTAAACAAATCGCTGCCACCTCTTTGCCAAATAATCAAGCCGCGCATTCCACATCAGCTTATTTGAGCCTCGGGGAGGGGGTAGGCACGAAATATCCAAACCCTGGAGGAGGTTCTGCGTGCGCAAGACGGAATTGTTTGTCCGCGGGGACGAGAGCTCACCGTGGAGTCACATGAATGTCTTGCGGGGATGAGGAGGTGCGGAAAAAAAATAAAATACATTGAGACGGCTAAATATGTCACTTGGGGCTTTCCTCCATCCCAACAGGTTGCTGAAAATAGCCTTCGGGACCGAGACAAACGTGGTCAACGATGAAAAGAGGTGTGTGACCTCATGGACACACTTGAGGATGAACAACATTGTCGTAACCCTGGCACACCGTTAAACGCATTTGTATAAGCACATTGCGGCCACTATGAAGATCCAGAAGATTTATTGTCTCTCTTAATAGTTTGTTCAGAGTGGTTCAAAAGCCAAATAATGAGTTTACAGTGTTGTTTTTGTGGCGAAAGGTCCTTCCTGTTCATCGCGGAGATCCCGCAAAATAGTTGCATTTGTCGTTCATGCAGAACCCAGCGAAGATGGGATATTGCCTCGAATGTATGCACTTTCACACAGTGACACAGCATCGTAACAATGAGATGGACAATCCCGGAAAACAAAATCTGTATTGGAGCCCTCTTCGATGTAATTTTTTTATTTTTTATTTTTTTAAATGGTGCCATTAGGGCCATTGTCGCCTTTCACACAGAACCCAGCAAAGGTAGAGTATCCACAAAAACTGAGGCATCGGACGTTTGCGGAATTGAAACAGAACACAGTTAAAGAAGGATAATGCACTTTCATGCAACTTGCCGTGAAATCTGGTCATTCGATTAGATTTGAAAACTGCCACAAAAACAGCCATCTTTGTTTTCCACAGAACGCAGCGAAGGCGGGATAGTAGCGCAACTTTGTACGTTTTCACACACATCAGCATTCCAGTGTCAAGCGGTCTTTACGTTTCACATCGAACCAGAATATCGTGTGACAAATAAAACGCAACATGGCGAGCGAAAGAAGTGTGTCTACCCAGAAAGGGGTTCTGAACTCTGCCTAGCAACAAGTGGCAAACATACAAGCAGGAATAAAATTCACAGCAATTCAAGTTGATGCCGGGGATTTCTAAACAAGGACAGTTTTCCGAGTTTGTCACCAATCCGTGTGGCTAACGTGACATTTCCATAAGGAAGTGACAAAAACTCACCAGAAGGCCTCGTCTTTTCCACCAGCCCGCGATTGGCCGACCCAGACAGCTGCCCGGCCCGCAATCGCTGAAGGGATTTAGTGCCGCTGGTGTGCGATGATAGCGCTGAGAGTTTTGGCCCAAAATAGCACTGCGGGACGTGAAGCTTTTTTTTGCGAGTACGGTCGTCTGCGCTAACGTGATCGAGGGGTTCGGGTGGGTCCGACACATCAGCACGGCAGTCGCGGGAAGGGATCGGCTAACAGCTGCCTCGCTGTGAGCCTCTTTGTATCATCCGAGACTGGCGGGTGAGCTAAGACGGCACCTGTCCGGGGGTGCTGAGGGATTTAAGGGGCGACCGAGATATGACTGCTTACATAACAGCCAATATAAATGCTAACTCATTGGTCTCTAAAGGGAAAAAAAAAAAGCAATAAACTTTCAATCATTTTTATACCCATGATTAGGACTAGGCGGGTATTGGTTTGGTCAAGTGAAATGGAAAGTTTGCTGTAATGAACACGGTCAGTTGGCACATTTTGACCACAACAACTTTACCGAGGACCAGGGACTTAAATTTAAGAGGACACCAGCAAGTGACATCGTGGTGAAAATGTGCGTTGCTATCGAACGTGTTTAAAAACTAGCTCAAAGCGCGACCGGCAGCTATGCTAAAATTCCGATTCAAAATCTGAATCAGAATAGCTTTGTCGTCATTTGTACCATGAGGTGCATCAAAATGGAACAGACGCAACCCGTCCAAGAGACGTTAAAACGGGGGTCGGCAACCTGCGGCGCCGGAGCCGCATGTGGCTCTTTAGCGCCGCCCTAGTGGCTCCCTGGAGCTTTTTCAAAAATGTTTGAAAATGGAAAAAGATGGAAGAGGGAAATATATTTTAATCTGGTTTCTGTAGAAGGACAAACATGACACAAACATTCTTAACGTTTTCCAATGCTGTCAAAATGTGGAGAATAAATATGAAATTTCAACATTTCTGTCAACGAAGATTTGTGTCACAGGCAAAAAAAGTTTGGGCACCCCTGCACTACAGGATGCACTGCAGGAGAAAAAAATTCATCATGAAGGCTCATTGTGTATTTGTAGCCAACTTAGTCATTTTGATTGTAGGCTAACATCGCTAATATAGCTACATACAGCATGTGTTTCCTTCATGATAAGGCTTTTGAATTTTTGCGGGTCCAGACATATTTGTTTTTTGTTTTTTTGGGTCCAATATGGCTCTTTCAACATTTTGGGTTGCAAACCCCCGCGTTAAAACAAAACAAAAAGAAAGGCGGATAGGACGGGAAAAAAACAGTCCCAGACTAAGCTCCTGTTAGGGGAGCGCAGTATGGATTTAAAAATGGATTGATTTTTTTTTTTTTTCGTCATATGTAGGTTTTAGGGTCGCTTCGCTTTCTCGGCACAACCACGGAGTTTGTTTCGAACGTCATTGATTCACTTCACACTCGGGTTCAAATATGAGCACTTAACACCACTCAAGCAAACTGTTCTTCTCGTGCGGATTTTATACTTGGAAGTCATTTACCATTCGAAAAAAAAAGCACGACTTCTTACAAATGTGTTATTCGTACCTGCTTTGAGATTTGCTTTTGAACTTTTTTGCGCTCCACCGGCAGCCATAAAACTCGGATGAGGAAGATGCTCGGGTTCTCACAGAGCGCCGTCGCTGAGACGCTGTAATAAGTGCATTTGCACTCGTGAGAAAACACAAGCCGGACGGCTCCCGGTGAGCAAAAGGACGACAATCTCATCCCACGGTCAAATTAAGAGAATCCTCCGGTACGGAAGCGTTTGAGGGTGTTCACGTGACATGATAAAAGGATTGCAGTCAATATCAGAAAATAATTCCCTCGAAAATATCCATCCACTAAATCCGAGTTGATTTTCTTGAAGGCTTCACACACCAAATCCTTTTGGGCTAAGGGGGGGAGGTAAAACAAACAGAAAGTCTGCATTATCAAACTTTTGTTTTTAACCCCGCTCCCCCTCGCCCCCACTCCGTCTCATTTTCTGCATGATCAAGCCATTCCCCATCGGGAATGCGGGGACGCTCGCTTTCGCTTGTGACAAATCCGTTCACACGGAGCGCTTTGACAGGCGAGGGGAAAAAAAAAAAAAAAAACGAATCGCAAATTATTAGCATGATACGACGATGCGTTCGGGATCGTCCGACAATAGAAAATGTGGAATCGGAGAAGTGGAAAGCGAGCGAGCTAACAAACGCCTTGAGATTCCATCGTGCGATGACGGCGTTGTCAAAAAAACCCCACATTGATTAATTCCACTTTGACTTAATCTTTCACTCGATAGACAACTTACAAACAGATGAGTCAGCAAGACACATCCTTCCTCACCCTGCCATCCTGATAACAGTCATGCAACTACGTCCTGTTGTCCCCTCTCCATAGGCTGCAACCACCAGCACCCTGATCTGTAATCGACACTGACTTGGAACAGCAGGTCGGCCATTTTCTCCCCCATCGGAGGTAGTATCCGACATGGGACAACATCGTAAGGCGTCTCTGCGGAAAAAGAGGCTTGTGCAACTACAACCATTTACGGGCTGGCATATTAGTCCATGAAAAACAATGTTTCACAACATTTATTGAGCCGAGGCACTTATTTTACATGATAAAAATGGCATAGCACACCAGTATATAGCATCTGAAATCTGCACACGAATTTTTTATTTAATCTATAAATCGTTTTTGGGAGGGTGGGAGTCACATTGATTTAAAAAAAAAAAAAAAAAAAAAAACACTTTCTTGGCTTCATTAGCAGCCTCTTGCTAAAAATGTGCTCATTAAAACAACGCAACCTACCCGTCATATACAGTCTATGCAGAACTTTGTTGACATTTTCAGAGACGAAGGTTAATTTTGCTTGGAAGCAGCACATTTTATGTTCACTGACACTTTTGTTGTTACATATTAACCCCGAAGGGAACATTCTGTTGATTTTATTGTTGAACATTTGAAATGCGTTACTAAAGTGCATTAGAGGTTAAGACCACTCTCAGTGAGTTTTGAATAATGTCACAGTCATTTTAGTGTTCTTTTTATGAAAGGGGATAAAATGAATTCAAATCAGAATTCAGATTTTTAATTCAAAATTGGAAAGATCCATTTGAGGGAGGTATTTGATTGACAGTTGAGTGAGGCGTGGTTTCAACACAATCAGAGGCCACGCCCAAAGCAATTGAGAGCGGAGACAACGGTATGATTTTTCGTGATTGTTTTCGTTTTAATAATTGTTCAAATCATTTAAATTTGGCACGGTTGTGTCAACAACAGTTTTCTTGTGGTGTGTCAAATTCAGAAGACATTTTTTTAAAATATATTGTATCATGTTTTTAAAATTATATTTATGTGTTTTGGGATAGCAATTTCTGACACAAGCCATCAACTAATGAAATGATGCATTGTAATATTGTCGGGGACTTTTAGTTTATGCACTATTAAACAATAAATAAATGAGTACACTCGTCTCCTTTGCTCTTGGTTTCATCTCCTCACATTCTTTAATGACACGAATGTAAAATTAAAAATCCCCATTGTTATTATTAATCCATAAATTGATGCTAACACACAGCAATAACATTAGCAATCCCGCTAGCTTCGTAGACAGGTACGGCACTCTTCACCCACACTTCGATCTTGTTGTTTATTAAAGTAAAAATCCACCTGTATCAAACCACAAGAGAATTCCAAGTCGGAAAATATTTGCTTGGACTTTTGTTAATAATAAACCGAGAAACAAAAGCGAACTCAAGTTTAAATCACGAACGTGTTCAGTGTGTGTTCGCGTGGCAGTCAATTGTCAACGCCGTTCCAGTCGCAATGGATGTGTTTGCTGATGATTCCATCCTCGAAGAAACATAAACTGAAGAACTGTGCTGTCAAAAATTCCCACCCACAGAAAACCACCATGTTCGACTTAACCCCTTCCGAAAGTTATTTTAAATGTGTTTGATAAAGCTGAAATGACATAGAAATTGTGACTTATTTCCACGGCGATACCAGGTTGTACTCACCTCAAACTCTTGCCTCGGGCTGGCTGAATGACTTGCTCTCAACCGGTGTCAGAAAAGCGGTATAAAATGTAAGATACTTCCGGTCAGTTGTTAAAAAACTCAAAGCTAAAAATCGAGTGTATTAGAATTTTTACTTTTTAAAATGACGTAAATATTGATGTTACCCATAAATATAAACATACAAATTAACAAGTAATACACAAACAACACTGGAGAATTATACAAACACTGTTTTCTATCTAAATATTTTATTTTGAAATTAATATTGCTCATTCCGGTTGCACTTGGATGACTTCGGGCAAATTATTACCGGCGTCTCCAGCCCTGGACATTTTTTGCGCATGCGTACATGCAACTCTATGACTCCGACAAGAGGCTGCGGAGGGGCGGGGCCCGTTCCGTTAGGATGATGATGCCACGACCTTCAATTTTAAAAATAGAAATCCTTATTAAATTTCACCAAGGGATGACTGGATGTGGATTCAAGAAGGTGTTTGGTGGTGATCCATCCTTGAAGAAACATGAACTCAAGTACCGTGCTGTCAATCTGAATGGGTTTTGGGGATGTTATGCCATTCAAAATAATCAGTCGTCATACATACTAGATTGAGCTATTGGAATAGGTTCAACCACATGATATTCATCAACATGTTGTACATCTAATTTCATATTTTACTTTCCAATACCCATTCATCCCACCATTTTCTTTAGTTGCCGTTGTCCTTATCGGGGTCACAGACAACTGGAGCTGATCTCCAAAGCGGAGTGGTCACTCATATTCACACCTATGGACAATTTACAGCAGCATTCTCAAAACTTTTACATCAAATAACAAGTGAAGAAACTATGCTGGTCTCCAAATCGGAGTAGTCAGTCACTCATATTCACACCTATGGACAATTTACAGCAGCATTCTCAAAACTTTTACACCAAATAACAAGTGAAGAAACTACTGAGCACTCCCAAGTACCGCCATAATGACCAGCATTGTAGTTCGATGTGTTCATGAAAATAATATTATTGCAAATCACTGTAACATTCTGGACAGTTGCCTAGATATAGGAAAATTGTATAAAAAAAGTTCAAGTAAACCCAACTGTGCTTGGGCAGTGATTCTTTTGTGACCCCAAGAACTAGTTGTATCACTTATTTAGACTCTCCATTCGACACTAGATGACTTTTGGTGAAAAACGCATCGTACATCCTGTTTCCGACTGATTGCTCCTGCAAAACCAATCCTTAATGACTCGATCAAAACGAGTGCATCAATACGTCATGAAGCCGCTTTTGCCTATCGAAGCCACTAATGCGGTTATTGCTGATCAAAGAACAAGTGCGTGCGTGTGCAGTGAGGAATCTTCTGGCTGGTTTGTTTTTGTTGTCTTGCTGTCAATCAAAAGTGGGCAGGACCCTTGTCTCGTGCATGCTAGCATAGCTGCCTGCGGTTAAACTAGCGAAGCAGCCGATGCAGGAAGTCCAACAAAGTTGCTGTTTAAATCCACTTCAGCGTTTTAAATTGCACACCCAAAGGCGGACATGACTTCTTCGGGCTCCTCGGTAAGCTTTAAAGGACTCGTCGAGTGTTGTTAAAGTTACGTCGCGACGCGCTGCGGGCAGAGCTTGCTAGTTAGCCTCGGCGGCTAAGATAGTTGTTATGCTAAAGCCTGTGACAGGCAGGCGTCACAAATGATCGCATTTAGCTGTGATCCTGTTATTTTAATTTGAATTCTTCAAATTTAAGGATGAATTTATCTTAATACGTGAGATTATTAAAACACTGTCAATGAAATTAAGAGTAACAGATTAAAGCAGGTTACATGGATGCATGACATAATTGATATCAAGGCCAATTTTACATTCCGACTATGAACCGGTCGGAATGAGAATCAGTACCTCCAAGTCTGGCCACCCGGCTGAAAAGGGTTGACCGAAGAAGGGGTTTCCTGCTTCAAACTGACTGAAGAAGGATTTTCCTGCCCCAAACCGAGGCAGAGGTGTCTATGATTCTTTCACTTAAAAAAAATAGATGGACACAAAATTGTCCCAACGCATTTGCATTAGATAGGAAAGCCCCGAGATTCATGGGGCTTCTCTTTATTTGACAGTTTTAGGAGTGACTTCCAGCTGTTTCAGACAACAGTGCCACCGCGCGAAACCATAATTGCAGTGAATACACTGGCAGCGGTGGCCGCCTCCAAATTTGAGAAGCTTGTCATTCTCATTCTTTCGTCTCCTTTGTGACTTTATTGTAGACAATTGGGGAGCTATTCCATACGCTTGGTGAAATGGGCTTCACGCAGGAGCAGATCCAGGCGGCTGTGCAGGCCGGCCATTTCTCCGTGATGGACGCGGCTGAGTGGTGAGTGCATCGACATAAATTATAAACTGTGTTCTCTCAATTTTCAAAATGGCTACCTCTTTTTTGAATGTGAGATGGTTGTTTCCCCCTCACCCCATAGGCTCCTGCAGGGTCATCAGCATCCACGACACAGTTTGCTCAAGCAGCAGACGGGGCCTGCCGAAACTGCGTTTGCGGCTTTCAACCCCCCTAAAGAGTCAACAAGCGCATCCGAATCGTACGCATCTGCCGCTGACTGCCCAAGTATGACGTCTAACTACATACACTAACACAGAAATGTTATTTAATTCCACATTTGATGGCGGGGGCAGGCACGCCAGAAAACAAACTACTTGTTTTAAAAAAAAAACACTTTTCCATAATATAACCGCATTAACAGATCCTTACCTGTCATTCTTCATTTTCATGGTGTCACCGCAGTCGGCTCGTTAGTGTTGAGGCCGGCTCAGAAGTCGTCGCCCCCATCCCGAGAGCTGCACCCCGTCGAGTCTCGCATCAAACAGGACAAAAGTGACTTTGAGGAGCAGCAAAGGCAACGCGTGGCTCAGGAGGCGAGGGCGGAGCGCCGGCAAAAGAAACAGGTACTGAAGGGGCGTGGCTTCGTCATCTCAGACGAGCATACAGTGCATCCAGAAAGGAATTTACATTTAATTATGCGCATGATGACAACATGAATAAAGCTTTGTTGAAAATTTTGCAACTCTATTAATCAGTCTTTGTTAATCTAAGAAAGAAGCAAAGATGGGAACATGTAATTTTTTTTCTCCTCTTTATTTTTTTTTTAACTTATAAATTTCCAAAAATCTCAAACTTGATGAAGGTTTTCATTGGTCAATATTGGCCCTTTTCAAATGGCCAAAAATCAGCCGATATATTTTTTTCTCTACATTAACACATTACAATGTATGTCAAAGAAAATGACATTCAAGCCCAAAAAAAAACAAAAAACAAATTGGCCATTTTTTCCGGCTGCTTCTTTCTGCTGTAAATTTAAATAATTATTCAAACAATTAAAAAAAAAAAAAAGAATAAATCAGCCATTTTTTTCCGGATTCTTCTCTCTGTTGTAAATTTAAATAAATATTAAAAGTATTCATATCCCACACCCATTGTAATCATCAAAGGTCCCGCACCCCCCAAAAAAAGCAGTTGTTTTATTCATCGAGGAATAATCATCTTCATTCCAGGAGAGAGAGTTGGTGCTCAAGCGCATCGCCGATGATCGGAGAAGCTTACAGGAGAAGAAAAGCGGCCAGTTTGGCGCTGCGGCGGCGGGGGCGGCGTCGCCGTCCAATGGCAATCAAGGGCACGCTCAGGGAGGGAAGGTTCAGAGTAACGCGGATAACAACTGTATCCTCATGGTGAGGTTGTAAAGGCGCCGCAGTCGTTTCGATTCGGGATGCCCGCTTTACGTTGTGTCGTCTGTGGCCTCGCTGCAGATCCGGCTGCCGTCCGGTGAGTCCATCCGCGAACGCTTTCCGGCTGACGCGCCGCTGCGCAGCGTCGTGGAGCACATCACCGGATGTCACCCCTCGCTCCCCGCCTTCTCTCTCCTCCAGGGATTCCCACGCAAACGCTTCGGGGAGGCCGAGCTATCCTGCTCGCTGCGCTCCCTCGGCCTCACGCCCAACGCCGCCCTTTGCATTCAGACCACCCCCCCGGAAACCCCCCAGGATCCGTCCGGTCCCGCCCAGCCGCCCCCGGTTGAGTGCGACCGGCAGGTGTGTCCCACCCCTCAGGCCCCCGCCGTCCAGGAGAGGGCGGGAAGGCCGGACCTTAGCATACCCTCTCTGCTTCCCAATCACGTGTGGGAAGAGGCTGCCAGTCTCGCGGGTATCGCCGGAAGTGCTCCTCTGCATGGACCCTCTCATTTTTGGGGCAAGTATTGACCTTTGACCCCGAATTGGAATTTTGGATAAGATTCATGAGCATGGTAGCTTGTGCTACTTTTGTTATCCTACCTCAGCGGTCTTGAACCTCCCTTGAAAACAGTTATCAGCCATCCGAAATGAAAGGCCACACCTCAAATAAATGCCTCCTTTCTCCAACCCACGTAAATCCGCAATAAAATATTGATTATCATAAGTATTATTTGTGTGTACAAAAATGCGTCCTCACAATAACGCCATGAACATTTTTTTTTTTTTAATTACCCAGGACGAGGCCAAAAGTTGGTTGCTGGCAATCCCGAGGAAGCCGCTGACGTCCAAATCGATCAGGCAGAAGAAGAGGAGGAGGATGATGATGATGATGATGAAGAAGAAGAGGGAGGAGGAGAAGAGGGAGTAGCTCCACATTTCCCGAACGGTACTGTGCACATTTCACAGTGGAGTAACTCACACGTGTGTGTGGTATGTTTTTATACACACATCCATTATTTTACAGAATCATTTTCGAAGTTCCGATCCTACATATGGCGTTAGCATCATTGCTACTTGTAAATGGGACACGATTGATTGATTGATGGCAGCTTTCATCCGGTGGCCGGCTAGCTATTAGCGACGAAACTGCGAATGTTTACGTGGGCGGGGCTGCGCAAACTCGGGTAGATACACACAAGTAGATAAGCATAAGAATCATTTGAGGTGTGTGTGTGTGTGTGTGTGTGTGTGTGTGTGTGTGTGTGTGTGTGTGTGTTTTGGCAGGTATGCCGCAGCTGCCATTGTTCCTGGAGAACAGGAACCGCAGCGGGTTCGTGTCCAGGCATCGCTGGCCCGAGCAGGGCAATCGACTCAGGGAGGCCCCGGCGGACGAACCGGCGCCCGAGCCGGATGACGCCGAGGGGCGAGCGGCGCACGGAGCCGCCGGTCAGGCCGCCGTGGAGCGTCTGCTGCGGGTGGCGAGGCGCCAAGACGCCGGGCAGGCCGCGCAGGCCGCGCAGGGACAGCCGCTTCCCGCCAAGAGGTCTTTCAAGACCCCCAGCGTCTCCTCGCTCTGTGCCTTGGCCACGCGCGCTACCGTTCACCTGATGACGGGTAAGCGCCTTGGCACGCTCAACATATTGTTGATTGATAAGACTTACATAGCGTGTATGTATGTGTGTTTGTGTGCGCACGTCAGCTCCCAGCATGCAGTACAGCAGCAGCCTGGCCGGCCTGACGCCCGAGCTGGCGGAGCTTCTGCTGAGCCACATGGCCCAGGAGCGTCTGCTGCGCCCACGCAACCTGGAGCTGTTCTTCGGCTGCCCGCTGCAGAAGTTTGTCCTCAACTGCTATCCGTACTCCACCAACGAGCTTCTGCGCCAGCTGCGTGCCTTCACCGCGCTCAAGCACCTCAGCCTGGTCAACTCGCCGCTCATCACGGGTACAAAAACAAACGCCGCATTGCTTCAAAGTTCATCTGACGTCATTGAACTCATTCACTCCCAAAGACGTTTTTAAACGTCTTTTCAGACTTGGTCTAGAATTGGCTGGTACTGAATGAGTTAAATGGATTTCTTCGAGACTGAATTAACTTTCCATATTTCAATTTTCATCAAGATTCTGGCCTGTCAATTCTCTCCAGTCTGGTTAAACTGCAGTACCTCAACTTGGCCTCCTGTAGCAAACTGACCGACACTTGTCTGCAGTACATCACAGGTTACAAACGTCTTCCGTCACGCACCCCAGATGGGATTAATAGGTTACGTAACGCCGCCGGATAGTATGCATAATCTGTTTTTCTTTCCAGGTCTCAAAAACCTGTCCTTCCTCTCACTGGACCAGACCAAAGTGACGGACGCGGGAGTGACGCTGTACCTGCGCTCAGCGCCGCCGTGCCTCTCGCAGCTCAGCCTCAACCAGACGGCGGTTGGCGAGGCCGCGCTGGCCGCGCTGCCCGCAGGCGTGCCGCAGCTGCGGATGCTCAGCATCAAGCAGACCAAGGTCGATCCCATTTACATTTTTTTTGTACAATTATTACTAGCTTAATGCTAATACACAATGCAAAATGCTAATGAAAAGTATAATTGATGTTGGGTTGATTTAAATCCAAGAAACCTAAAAATCACCGATGCCGCCATGTTTGTTTGAGTCTCTTCCTTCACTGTTGTGACGTCATCCTGCATCCAGGTGTCTGATGTGTCCGCACTGTCCGAGCTGCCGGGCCTGCAGACACTCAACCTGGACGGCACGAACGTGACGGAGGCCTCGCTGGCGCAGCTGGGCGCCCACCCGTCCCTCTCGTCCCTCAGCCTCGCGGGGATACGCGTGTCGGACGGCGACCGCGCCCTGCACATCATCTCGGGTTAGCGACAGCGACGGTTTTCCAGCCTAAGTGATGTAGCGTCGCGTCGCCGAACGCATTTTGGCTTCTCCGCAGGTCTGCCTTTGACTCACCTGACACTCCCGGGACGTCACTCGGTCACGGATAGCGGACTGGCGTTCCTTTCGCAGCTGTGGCTACTGGCGGAGCTCGACCTGACGGATTACAAGCAAGTCACAGACCAGGGAGTTCAGCACCTGTGTAGTATGACCAGGTACACGCATATGTCCACTATTTAGTCATGTAATGTTCCCATTGTGTTCTATTTCATCCCATGGCATCCCATAATGTCCATCACTTTCATCATGTCCTTTTTGTTCCATCGTGTCCCCTAAAGGTTGAAGAAGTTGTCTCTGAGCAACACTCAAGTGACAGACATCGGGCTCACCTCCTTGCGCCCCCTGCTGGAGCTGCAGGAACTGTGCTTGGACCGGACGGCGGTCAGCAGCCGAGGAGCGGCGGCGCTCATTACCTGCCTGCCGCACCTCCAGGTCCTCCTTGCGTTCTTTAGTCCTTCCATTTTAGTTAAAAAAAAAAAAAAAAAAAAAACGTTTCCATAAAAATGTGCATTAACTCATTCACTCCCAAAGACGTTTTTAAGCGTCTTTTCAGACTTGGTCCAGAATTGGCTGGTCCTGAATGAGTTTTAATTATTTTGTTGTTGACTGTTGTTATTTTGCAGGTGTTGGGCTTGGCCAGCACTCACGTGGGTGACAATGTCGTGCGGCGAGGTCTTATCCACTGCCCTCAGCTGGTCAAGTGTAATCTCAGCCGCACCAGAATCACGGATAAGAGTAAGCCCATCCACACACTTTCCAACACACCATAGACGTTATATCATATTTTCCTCCCCACCCAACCCCAATTCAGGTGTGAAGTTTCTGGCGCGCATGCGTCTGACTCAGGTGAACCTAGACGGCACCGGCGTGAGCCTGGCGGGCGTCGCCGGCCTGCTGGCCTGCGCTCACATCAGCAGCATCCGCGCCAGCAACACACGTGTTGTGCCCATTGACGACGTCTCTGACGATGATGGGGAAGCGCTGTTGTAGCGGTGAAAAACACTCCCCCACCCCTCGTCAAAAAAAAAAAAAGACTCCACCTCCACGTTTGCACTGTCACGCCGTTGATCTGTCAATCAGTCATGCTTGAAAATGTTAAAACACAAGCCTCGTGATGTACAAGACAGCTTAGAATCAGGACAAAGCATTGTTGGTTCATGACCTTTTTCTGACCTTTCTGTTCTGAGTCAAGCATAACTGGTGTGGTAATCACGCCCTGGGTCAAATTGACCCAGAGCATGTTTTACCACACCAATCATAATGTAATTGACCCATTTGAAAATGTAGCTTAAATGAGCAGCAATAATATTTGTTTTTCTGTATTTTACTATAAGGCTTTCAAATGCGGTTCAGTTTAACCATAACCATAGGATTCAAAATGCCCTGGGTCAAATTGACCCACAACCATTATTGCTGCTGCTTCTGAGATCTAAACTTATTTTGTAATACAGTACTTTATCGTCAATTTTCAACACAGGTCAATTTTACCATAACTGGTGTGTCAAACATAGCTCGGGCCAAATTGACCCATTTGAAAATCTCATTTCAGAATATTTTTCTGGCATGTTACTTTTTATTCAGCAGCAGCAATAATGTTCTCAGCTCCAAATGTCACCATATCTGGGGGTTAAACATGCCGTGGGTGAATTTAGAAAGTGCAATAGGATTTGACACTACTGTTTTGTTAATTTTTCAGGAGCAGCAAATATGTTCCCGGGTCAGTTTGACCCCAACCATGTTGAAAACCCCGGTTTAAAGGTGTAAGCAGTTGTATGAAAACCCCAAACAACCGCTGCGAACAAATCGGCATCTGTGGTGAACAAAAAAATTTGACTGCTGTGCTACCTTGCGGAAGCACAGAACATGCACAGCATGATTGTTCACACTGCAGCATGAGAAACTTAAATTCAACATCGTGGGTGCATGTATTTTATTTTGGTTTATTCTAACACACTAGACATTGTGTGTTCTTCCTAATTCTGTAATTTTGGTTGTACTAAAAGGACAGAGTAGCGTGATTTAGTTTCGAATAGTCACTTTTGCTTTGACAGCAGTTTTCTTCATACTTTGTTCAATTAAAAAAAATATATCAAAGCTTCAATGCCATTTTCCCCTATGGTTCTCTTGATTCAGATTGTGAAGTTTCTCTTCCTACTAAAAGTCAATTTTATAAATATGGGGTAAGGGTGTTTTTAGTAAGGAAAACTAGCACAGAATAATATTGTAATTATGAGAAACAGTACAATACATGAACGATTTAATGCTAATTCTGGTGTCTGTCCTCGCCACTGGGGGGCAGTATAATACAGTTATGCTCTTCTACCGTGATTCAATTAGATGCTGTAATTTTTTGTAGAGGATAAAGAATATGCCTGTAATATTGTTTTCAATCAGGATTTATTATTACAAATGTGAACAGCTGATCTGATATGTAAAATTCAACCTATAGTTTCAATTTGCGTTATAATAAGCCACTGATGCAGACTTGTGTGCCGTTTGCCTTCAATGAGATGCAACAAAAAGTTATTTAATTCCAAACGTTTATTGGATAAGAGAAAGGAAACGGGAGCTGCATTGAAGCGTAGTCGGCGGCAGATGTTCACGCTAGTCCCAAGTATGTTGGCGTCATTCCCAGCTGTCCCTCTTGGCGGGAAAAGAATGAAGAGGAGGAAAACATTTGCGGTATCTTGATGACAACTTTGTGGACGGTAACGGACCCGCCTTCTCCTGTCAGTCATCATCCACCGTGGGTGTGATGGTCACGCCCCTCCTGATCTGCCCCCAGCCAATCAGACTGCGGGGTGGAAAAGGAGATGAGCCAATCAGATAACAGTACGAGGACAACCAGGACAAGTTATTTTAAGTCCTAGTAGCGCATATTTTTGCCTTACTACTGGAGTAGTCGGGCTACTAGTGTACTGAATTATCTTAGTAGTACATGGAATAAACGAGGTGGCTTAAATTCCTCACCGCCAATGTTTCTCCACACGTCGACTCAGGGCGATTTTCTCTCCTACTTCGGTGCATACGGGGTTGGTGAGGACGATCTTAGCCAGATCGGCTTTGACGGCACTAACGCGGCCGCCTGTCGACAGTGACCCGATGTTCACCATAAGCACTTCGTTCTTCGACAGCTTCTGGACCTGCGAGGGCGTTTTTGGAAAGTCCGCTTTAGCGGCATGCTCATAACCCAGGATGCCATTGACATGCTAACGATTAGCATCGATGATGGCGATTTTCAAACAGTGGCAGGCCATTGACGTGACCTCGCCCGGACGTCTTGTGACCGCAGCACTCACCTTGGCGGCCTTCTTGTCTCCCTCCGTGCGCACGCCCAGCAGCCTCCTGAGCAGGAAGTACGAGATCTCCAGCTCGGTGAAGATCTCCGGTAACTCCCCGACGGCGCCCAGCACCTGACCCACCATGCGGTCGGCTCGGCAAAGCGTCGGGTCAATCTTGGTGCCCACGCCTGTACCGATTAAGAGTTCATGAGAACCGGACAGATATACAAATCGGCAAACGGTTGACTTCATCATCGACACCGAGCCATGAATGTGGACGTACGTACCGATGAGGCCTCCGGGCGCGGCGTACTGAAGGTCGTTGTGTTCGGCGAACAGCGAAACAATCTTGGAGAAGATGGGCTTGCACATCAGCTTCCCTTCGTGGTCCTTGGACACGATGCCCGGCCGCACCTCGATCTCCTGGCCCACCTACAGAGGGCGAGGACTGTTAACACTCGCATCACGAGAGACTTTTTCATTGGCCTCAGGAGTGTCTCACCTTGAGGACGCCCTTGAGGATACTCCCGCCCGCCACGCCGCCTTTCAGGTCATCCACTTCACAGCCAGGTTTGTTGACGTCAAATGATCTGATGACTATGAGAGGAGAACAATCAATGAGTCACTGAGGGTTAAAGTAGAACTAATATTTAGATTATAGTTTATCGGGAAACATTCAGTCATTAGATGAATACAATTAGTTTTGGTCACATTTTCTCTTTTGGTGCACATTGTGGTGCTCATTCTTGTGTGCGTGCCACAAAGGTGTACTGTAAAGTTCATTTAGGTGAGCCTATTGTTTTTGTTTTTTTTTTTGCAGAAGATAAAGAATACGTGCATGCGAGTTTCTCTAGAATTGTTTTTTCTTTTTTGGGGGAAAGGCTGGAAATCACGAATGGCATTTTTATTTTAATGTAAAAAGACTAAGACAACAAAGAAATTTTTTCTTCGCAGGAAATCAAGTTGCGAGTCACTTTTGAAAAGCAGTTACGACAGATGTCAGGAAAGTCACTAAACATAGCAACCTGACGGCTACGTTGTCTACAGTGATTATGCTTTTGTAAACCTTTTCACAGCCATGTTATTAATATACTATAAGCGGTGCACAGGACGACGCACTGGACCATGCGGGCTTCGAAATAATTCACACAAATGAATCGAATTGATGAATCATCCAACCCTTCCACGCCTTTCTTACCGATGAGTCTGGGCTCTGAGGAGAAATCTCGCACAGGGACGGGGATCTTCTTGACGATGTACTCGCACACCACCTCGATGTTGTACTTGAGCTGAGCAGAGATGGGAATGATGGGCGCGCCCTCGGCCACCGTGCCTGTCAATCAGAAGAGACGCGTCGTCATTGTGTACATTCTTATCAATAAACTTTGGGCTATGAGTGGGACTGAACAGCTTGAAGCTTTTTTTTGGGTGGGGGGGGGTGCCTGATGTTGGATTTGTGTCGGCGCTGGCTCTCACCCTGCACGAACGTCAGTATCTGCTCATACTGCTCTTTGGCCTGGCTCTCCTTCACTAGGTCGATCTTGTTCTGCAGGATGAGGATGTGCTTCAACTTCATGATTTCGATGGCGGCCAGATGCTCTGATGTCTGCGGCTGCGGACAAGACTCGTTGCCCGCTGGAAGGACCGAAACGTTAGTCGCGAGTCACACCGCCGGCGTTGAGGGCAGCCCGGGCGAGACGACTCACCGATGAGGAGGAGGGCGGCGTCCATGACAGCGGCGCCGTTCAACATGGTCGCCATCAAAATGTCGTGACCGGGACAGTCCACGAAGGACACGTGTCTATGAGAGACCGATGACTGTCATATCCACTGAGCTACATTTAACAACTCAAGTTCTGATACGTATTGCATGAGATTCTTTTATTTCCTTCTATTTGTTTCAAATTTTTTTTTTGTTCAATGAGAGTTTAGCCTCTGTGTTGCCATGCCAACCTAATTTGCCCAAGCAGCAGTGCTGACCCATGCAAGTTAAACTATTTTGGCGACGGGACTCTTTCTTTAACCAATCTCATTTCAAATTCATCTTCATCAATGACAACATTTTTCCATCCTCTGCGTGGTCAGAAGAAAACTTCCTGCAGCCAAGTCCGACTCACCTGACAAGTTTAAAGTCGCCTTTGGTGCCGGGGATGTCTGTGGGGAACTCATCGGGAGTACTGCTCCCGCATGAGCGGTAGCACTCGGGCCGAGGGCAGCTGGGGTCATCCAGCATGTAGATCTAATGCGACAACACGGTGGAAGTTAGCATCAGCGTTCGGCGTCGCATCAGGGCATCGAACATACCTTCGCGTTAGCATAGCCGAGCTTGATGGTGATGTTCCTCTCCAGCTCGTTTTTGAAGCGGACGGTGAGAACTTGGTTCGTCGCGTTCAATAGCGCTGCGCATATTTCAGCGCCGTTCATCGGACGGCTGTACCAATGTTGATGGTGGCCTGTCTGTTGTCACGTTCAATAGCGCTGCGCATATTTCAGAGCCGTTCACGGACGGCTGTACCAATGTTGATGGTGGCCTGTCTGCTGATGATCTCGGGGGACAGCGTCGTCAGCTTGGATACATCCTGCAGTCGTCAAATGCACATAACAGTTAAAAACAGACGCATATACTGTTTGTTTATTTATCATCTTATCAGTACAGTCATATTAGTTATAAACAGAGGACAAAATCAAGTGACATTAAAATCTAGTTCAATCTTTGTTTGGAACCCAGCAGCTAACATCGACTAGCCTGCCGTCGTGTGCCGGGTGGTGCCAGAGGCAAAAGCAGTAGCTTAGCGGGCAACAAACAAGACTTGTATTGCACCTAATCTTTGACAAAAACGTCTAAGGTCTTAGACACGAACTCGAGAAGGTGTCAACAGTATTCGATGTGCAATTACCAGAGTATTGAGGTCTTGTTTGGCCAAATGAGGCTGACCCAGCGTTGTACCTGACTCGTCGCCCGCCATCTTGAATGAAAAAGGAGGGGGTGGAGGGAGGTAACCGAGGACAATGCCTGCAGGGAATTCATTCAAATAAATTCATTCCCTCTGCTGTAATGTGTGATCTATCCTGCTTTGGATTGTTTTCGAATACAGGAGTATTATTGTATTTGTTTGTGCGAAATAATAATAACTTAAAGTGACTTCACCTGAATAATAACGCAACGGGGTCCTTTCACTATGGCTGATGCAACCTTCCATCTCCTATATCTTATGATTTTATGTCTTGTTTTATAATATCTTGCTTAACAATTTTTACATTGTATTTTTTATTGTCTGTACAGTGTCCTTGGGTGGCATGAAAGGCGCTTTTAAATAAAATGCATTATTATTATTATTATTACTTGCAGTTACGATCAATTAACTTAAAGGGTAAGTTCACGAAACAACCAGCCAAAACTCTTTATATCTGTGTAATAACGAAGTCCCCCTTAATCATTAAAACAATATCGACAAACGTTTTTTTCTTTTCGCCGGTGAGCAGAGTACGATGCGTTCCTCGCGTGTTGGGTCCGTCGTGGGTTAATGACATAATCAACGAGTGTCCTGTAGTCCTGTTATATCATTTGTAGTCGCGGGGATTTGATTTTATGTTGGGATGCGGATGTACCTCTGGAAAATTAAAGAAACAAATATGAAGAATTTGGTTAGTTTGTGACTTTTGTTACAATTTTCAAACAAATCACAAAAATGAAAATTTTCATTTTTTTTTTTTAAATTATACTTTTGTTTTGCCAACTTTTTTTCCGACCCACTTCCGCTCAAACGGGACGTGACGCAAGTCTAGAAGATGGCGTCCACAAAGCCCAAGGATCGATTTGGTTTGCTAGCTGTCTGCTGTTGAGCCGAACCGGGGCTCTTTGGCTCTGGCTGAGGGCTGACACCATGGCAGCAGGTAGCTGCAGTCGTCTTCTCTCATCCCGGAACTAACGGTATCGCTCCATGTCCAAAGGGAAGACGGCTCGTGTGGATTCTCAGCGCCGAGGTGAGACGCTTCCTTTACCCGCTAAGCTAAAGTTGTTACTCCCGGTCCAGCCCATTCGGAGCGCCGGCTCTCCCGACACCAGCAAACATCGTCACGAAAGTTGGAGACGTTCAGTAGCGTTCGTTAGACGCCTCAGTGGTTCATGTTAGCATGGGGCGAACTGGCCAGCTTTGAAATCACAACGGCGGTGCTGTCAACGTAGCCTTTGTTTGGGCACAATGTGGAAACATTGCAACTCTGGAGGTTTAACAGGTAATATTCCAGTATTTAAATCTCAATTTCAATGTAGCCACTTAAAAATGCAGATTCGGGACATCTTGGTTATTTATTACGATCCTCAAATTTTAAAACAGACTCACATTTTAAAACAGTTTTTACCACGTCCATCTACAACTCTTCAAAGTCTCACATTCCCCGTTCAATTTCTGAAGAAATTACATTTCGTAATCACTGGAGCAGTATTTTTTTTTTCTTCCATTTTGCATATCAGCAGTTTGAGTCAGATGGGTTCACATTAGGGTGCATGCAGCGCTCTTAGAAAAAATAAATGCAGAACGTTATTTATGCAGTTCATAAAAATGAAGTGGGCATCATTGCATGGTCACTTGTTTAATGTCTTTCCAACAAGGCTGGAAACACAAACACGGGAAATGCCAGCGGCCGCTTTGATCCCAGACATCGGAGGCTGTGAGTGCAAAATACGTCAGCCGCCACCTTCCTCATCTCCAAACTTCGAAAACAGCTTGAACTTTCTCTCTTGTGCTATTACGTTCTCGCCCAGGTGATTGAGGCTGACCTAGGGTCTTTGTTAGCACCAGCTGGACACACTGGGACACCGTCCTCTGATTGGCTGCGACAACTCCCTCTGACATGCCCGTGGCCAATCAGAGGTGAGTATGTAAAGAAATCCTTCCATCCCTCCATTTTCTGCAACAATTTAACTTACTCAAGAGTATTTTAATGTATATTTCCCGCTGTCATCAGGTGTGTTATGTCGGAGGCGGATGTGGAGATGTATCTATCCCAGGTGCATGATGGGAGCGTGTCATCGGGCTTCCGGGCGCTGTACGAGGAGCGTCTGCTGCTGGACGTCACGCTGATGATCGACGAGCATCACTTCCAGGTGTGTGGCGCTAACGTTGTGCTTATCAAGCTGATCGGGTTTTCGGGTCGATTTAATTGTTGATGCCGTCGCAAATAACGAATACTCTCAATGTGTCCTTTAGGCCCACAAGGCGCTGTTGGCCACCCAGAGCGACTACTTCCGGGTCATGTTCACAGCGGACATGCGGGAGCGGGACCAGGACAAGATCCACCTGAAGGGGCTGACGGCGGCGGGCTTCGGGCACATCCTTCGCTTCATGTACTACGGCTCACTGGAGCTCAGCATGCCCACCGTGCAGGAGATCCTACAGGTGTCGCACTCGCATTTTTTTTCGTGGGATTCTATAACGTGTGCCTTTTCATGAAGAGACGCTCCTCGAACATGACGTTTTGCGCGCGTCCGGCTGCAGGCGGCGATGTACGTGCAGCTGACGGAGGCGGTGGAGTTCTGCTGCTCTTTCCTGCTGGCCAAGATCTGCCTGGAGAACTGCGCCGAAGTCATGCGGCTCCTGGAGGACTTCAGCGTGGGTGTGGAGGGTGTCCAGGAGCAGCTGGACAACTTCCTCCTGGATAACTTTGTCCCGCTCATGAGCCGAGCCGACTTTCTGTCCTACCTCAGCCTGGAGAAACTGCAGGTTTAGACCACGACGGCACCAAATCGATTTTCACCGAGCGATATTTTACATATACCCCAAGTGCACTGAATTGTCCTTAATGCACTTTTAAGTCATAAAGAGCAGTGCTGCCAGTTACCTTAAAAAAAAGAATTGAAGTACATTCCACATGACTTGATTTAATAATCTAACTAAGTGAATGTGCACGTTACAAAGTCGTGAATCAGCCTATTACATTACATGTAGTAACACATTAGATTCGAAGTAGCAGTTGTAAGCGCAAATTCAGCGAGATCTCTCTTTCCATGTGTGCCTCCCAGGCATACCTGAACAGCGACGCTCTGAGCCGCTACCCGGAAATCGAACTGTACGAGGCGGTCCAGTCGTGGCTGCGACACGACCGGCGACGCTGGAGACACACGGACACCATCGTTCAGTCGGTCCGCTTCTGCCTCATGACGCCGGCAAACATTTTTGAGAAGGTGAGGCTGGAGGCGACTTCATTTTATTCAGCAACTATGATACTGACTTGATATGTTTGTTTTTTTATGCTCTCTACAACCTATTAAAACACTTTATGGGAGGAGTGAACAATTCTGAAAAATGAACTGAACTCATTCACTCCCAAAGACGTTTTGAAACGTCTTTTCAGACTTGGTCCAGAATTGGCTGGTACTGAATGAGTTCATTGCAATTCCTGTTAACAGGTGAAGACGTCGGAGTTCTACCGCTACTCCCGGCAGCTGCGCCAGGAGGTGGAGCAGGCCCTGGGCTACTTCCACGACGTCAATCAGCAGCCCCTGGCAGAGACGCGCGCCCAACGCATCCGCTGCGACCTCGATGCAGTAACCCGCTCGGTCCCGCAGGTGTGGTGGGAGCTGGAGGGCCCCCAGGTGCCGCTGAGACCCGACTGCCTGGCCATCGTCAATAACTTTGCCTTCTTGCTGGGAGGGGAGGAGCTGGGGCCGGACGGCGAGTTTCACGCGTCGTCCAAGGTCTACCGCTACGACCCCCGACAGAACTCGTGGCTTCGCATGGCGGACATGTCGGTGCCCAGGTCAGAGCTCGCACTTGTTGTCTCAAATGCCGTCGACAGGAACCGACAACAAGGTGCCTTCGGGCTCGCATTGCCACGTGAAAATTGTCAGGGAAAGCTGATCAAATTTGAGCGCTTTGCTCTAATAAAAAAATTCTAGGCAATAAAAAGCATCCTCCACAAAGGTACACACACACAAAAAAAAAATCAATTTCTCTGCAACCAAGTTGTCAGGGAAAGCTGATCAAATTTGAGCGCTTTACTCCAATAAAAAATTTCTAGGCAATAAAAAGCATCCCCCACAAAGGTACACACACACAAAAAAAAAAATCAATTTCTCTGCAACCAAACCAATTTTATTGACGTTCAGTGCTTAAGAAGTCCAGTCCACATATTTGCATATCGTTTCCTGGAACATGAAAAGTTGACGTGATTCCAGTCACAGCTTTGATTGTAGTCTTATTGTCATATGACTTGGGGCGTCGTGTCTTACGTTCACGCCGCGCTCGTTTGGTAGAATTTTGCGAAGTTGCGGTAGTGTACGCTTAAAAGACTGCAAGTGTTTTGTAAATTAACTCTTTCATTCCACAAGACATACTTGGACGTCTTTTTAAAATTAGGCCCCGCCTACCAAGGACTGGACTTGTACATCTAAGTCTTTTTTTTATTTTTTATTTTTGCGTCATAGAGAGGAGGAGGGTCTGATGCAACAAAGTGTTTTGGAAATTAACTCTTTCATTCCACAAGACGTACTTGCTTTTTAAAATTAGGCCCCGCCTACCAAGGACGGACTTGTAAGTCTAAGTCTCTTTTTTTTTTTTTTTTTTTGCGTCATAGAGAGGAGGAGGGTCTGATGCAATCTGTGAATGAGAATAAGCCGTTTGCATTGCAAATCATGTCAAAAAGCGACCAGTAGGTGGCAGTGGTGCCTCACGTGCTTGAAATGCATGCTTTTACAAAAAGCTCTTTTTCTCCGTTTTTTGCCCAGGAATTGCCATTTTCATGAAACGTAGCCATTTTGTCATGCCGATTGCTGAAGAATGGAAAAATATAGAAACAAAATTTATTTTTCTGCTGAAAGAAGAGAGTCCAAACTTTATTTTGGTAGCCTCCATGTTGATATAGCTCTCCAGTGAAAATGGCTGCGATTGATCGAGTTAACTTCTTCATACTCATTTTATTTTTTTTGCCTGTATTTCAACCTAAGCCTAACCTAGAAGACCAAAACATACATTGAATATTAAATCTGAAATTGTTTCTTGAAATAGAGATTACCGGTAGTTTATTGTTTCCGTTTATTAAATCATAAACGCAAAGAGGACCGTGAATAAAATAATCACAATTACAATATTCAGGGGGTTGAAAAAAAAAATGGCGGTTCAGCCCAAATTGCCGCTGTAATTGTCATGACTCTTACCGGTCTTCCCGCTTGCCCGTTGTCGATTCGCAGGTCGGAGTTCGCAGTCGGCGTCATCGGAAAGTTCATCTACGCCGTGGCAGGCCGCACGCGAGACGAAACCTTCTACTCCACGGAGCGCTACGACATCACCGAAGACCGCTGGGAGTTCGTGGACCCGTACCCCGTCAACAAGTACGGACACGAGGGGACCGTCCTGGGCGGGAAGCTCTACATCACGGGCGGCATCACGTCCTCGTCCACCTCCAAGCAGGTGTGCGTCTTTGATCCGGGGCGGGAACCGGCGGCGGCGGGAGGAGGAGCGACGGCGGCGGCGGCGGGAGGGGGCTCGGCCGGGCCGGACCCCTTCCGGACGCGCGGGGGCCGCGGCGCGCCGTTGCCCGGCTCCCACGCCAGCTGCTGGGAGAACAAATCCAAAATGAACTACGCCCGCTGCTTCCACAAGATGATCTCCCACAACGGCAAGCTGTACGTGTTCGGCGGCGTGTGCGTCATCCTGCGCGCCTCCTTCGAGTCGCAGGGCTGCCCGTCCACCGAGGTCTACGACCCGGACGCCGACGAGTGGACCATCCTGGCGTCCATGCCCATCGGGCGCAGCGGCCACGGGGTGGCCGTGCTGGAGCGCCAGATCATGGTGCTGGGCGGCCTGTGTTACAACGGACACTACAGCGACTCCATCCTCACCTTTGACCCCGACGACAACAAGTGGAAGGAGGACGAGTACCCCCGGATGCCTTGCAAACTGGACGGCCTGCAGGTGTGCACCTTGCATTTCCCAGAGTACGTGCTGGAGCACGTCAGACGCTGCAGCTGAGGTCTGCTACGCACTGGACACACTTTTTCCCGTTTTTTTTTTTTTTTTTTTTTTAAACCGGCCGGGGGGGCTTTTTTTCTG